TCCCGACCCCAAATTTGGGAAACACTGCTCTAACCTTTTTCCGTTGTTAACGTTTATTTTCCTGYCTTTGTTGTGTTGCGTATATTAAACTTTCCACTCTTGTCTTTTGAAGCTGTGTGCTTTCATCTTCTCTTCTTGCTCTTGTTGATGTCATAATTGCCTCCCAAGACGTGGCCGACACTGGATTTATGAACAAAAGAAAAATAGAAACAGAAAAAATAATAATAATAAAAATTGGCCGATATAGTTTGAACGAGTAACAGCAGATGGATATTGTTTCTTTTGCATGTAAAATGGGCACTGTCCCAAAAAGGTGAGGATGTAGTGAGAAAGATCATTTGCATTACATATTTGAAGCTGGGAACATTTGTAAAACTTTAAAGATAAACACGATCAGGGTTAACACTTTGATGTCTTCCTTGGTCTACCAGAATATTTGCCTTTGACAACCTTCCCATGTTGTTTGTTTTTGGTCCAGATTTTAGACACAGCTGACTGAACAACCAACACGTTTTGCAACATTGGGTGATGATTTACCCTCTTAAAAGAGTTTGATAATCCTCTCCTTTGTTTCAAGTGACATCTCTGATGTTGGAGYCATGATTCATGTCAGTCCACTTGGTGCAACASSTCTCCAAGGTGTGATCACTCCTTTTTAGATGCAGACTAAYCAACGGATCTAATTTGATGCAGGCGTTAGTTTTCAGGATGAACATTTACAGGGTGATTCCGTATGATTTTCCTCAGAATTGAGTGATTCCATATTTTTTCCTCTCTGCTTGGTCTAAAAATTTAATTGTTAGTGACTACCACATTTTTTCKTGATTTCTTTTAGTGTTTCTTAAAGGGGACCTATTATGCAAAATTCACRTTTTAAAGTTTTTTTTTACTCAACTTTGGGTATGTACTTCTTAAAAAAGCAGTCGTAGGAGCAAAAATAAAATACACCCAGGGGCATATTAACTTTAAGTAAATGTATTTTTAATGTGTATTAACGACAAGTTTTATACTTCCGTTATTTTGTGATGTCACAAGCCGTACGACAACCCACCGGGTCCTGCGTTCAGCCCCTCACCCAGGTGAAACTCCACATCCTCAGTATAAAAAGTCGTCACGGTTGTTGTTGTGCAATGCGCAGCTCATTTCACAACAGGCCTCCAATAGGGCAATGGGTAGAGTGTTGGACCAGAG